TTATTTTGTTTTTTGATTGTTCATAATTTAAATCAAAGTTATAAATAGAGAGGTGTCACTATGGGTGCGGCTTGAGATATGTGGATTTTCTCTTCATCCACACACTCATCGTATTTACATTTATAACTCATTTGATAGACATTCTATGTAAAATCATACAAACTTTTATTTCATAACTATTAAATGTGCTTCTTCTTCAGAAAACTTTTTTTTTTAAATAAAAAGAGCGAAATTACTATCATAGAAAGATGCAACGAAGTTTTGCTTTTCTAGAATATACACTCTGTTTAGTAACTCATTCACTAAAAAGACAATATCTCTCTATTATAGTTTGATTGGATGAATCGGTTGTTGTACTGAGGATAGAGAAGTCTTCAAAGTTTTTATTCATGAATATAAAGCTCTCAAATATGTCTGAAAAGTATCATTTTCAGATTCTATACACAAATAATTATGAACTTTCATTTATTGAGACATATCTCTTCTGTTTTATCAATATTTTTGTGGTATGTCTGAAAAACTTCGAGGGATAAAAATATTTTTCTTTAAAACGATTTGTTCGTTTGTTATCTAAAATTTTGATGAAAAGTATGTTAGGTCCTTTTTCTCCAGTTTCTTTATTCCTTCTTTCTTCACAAAAACAAACAACCCATGTCCTCAAAATCGCTAAAAAATCGATAATTTTATCGCGGAATATTAGGGCGATTAATTGTGAGAGCTTATCGCGATATAATCATTCAAAATGATGATATTTACCGATACTTTTTTCGATTTTTCAACCAAAATCGCGATTTATTTACGATTGCTTCATCTAGGCTCCTCATGAAAACAAACAAAAAGAAGTACATTTTTCTCGCAGACTTTTGATGTCTACTGAAGTGCTCCCTTTGTTATCTGTTCACGTTCTCTGAGAACGACTTGGTCTATAAGTATATTCATATGTTATCTCAGCGTGTTCCAACACACGTTTTATTACCTTGAAGCAGATTCGAATAGATGATCTTGAATTTTCGAAGCCAGGAATATCCCATTGTACTATAATTATATGTATCTCGCTTTATTGAACTTTCTATATATATTGAACAGAGCTTTGTTACACCGACGAAAATGTTACTACCACTAAAGCCTTTACTGTAACGGCTACGGATCTAATTTTTCTGTTGCTTTAAAATAAATTTATATGATATCAATTTATATTGACAAATAAAAATTATTTAAAATCAAATTTATTTAAAACATATATCATCAGAAATTTATTTATTTTAAAGACAAGTTACTGTTATATATATCTATCTTTGAGTATAAAAATTTTTATTATCTATACTCGTAAATGTAAATAATAAAAAAATTATTTTTTACTTAATATACTCGTAAATTAAAAGACAGAAATAAATTGACATCCTGAGTCATTTTCAATACAAAAAATATATTCCACTACTTTACTGAGATATTTTTTCTAATAATACAGTGAATCTACTAGTCATGACACTTGGACAAGTAATTTCAAAAAGAAAGAAAGAAATTAAAAAAATAGTTTAAGAGTAAGTGTTTGATAGGAGATTGACTTTCACTATTAAACCACATCTCACTCCCACATCTGCCCTTGTCCAAACGCAAAATGAATCGAATTGAATCTAATTCAAGTGATGTTATTCATTTTTGCCTCTGATTCCTAATACAATGTAAAATCGATGAATATTTTACAAGTTCTACGGGTGAAAAAAAAATTCATGAAATTTAATAAGAGATGAGAAAAAAGAAGTTGAGAAAAATTTTATTCTTGGTTAATTAATTACATATATTTTCTAAAATTAGTTGCAATTATTGAAAGAGGTCAGCCTCTTATAAAGATCGAAAACTAATCTTCGTTTGTATAGGTATTAAGAAACAAAAATTTGTGTTGAAACTCGTCAATGATTCGTAACACAAGGCAATCATTGTAATAGATTATGCAACTTAATTCGATACAGATCAACTAAATAAGAAGACACGTACAACTTCTTTTTTGTTTATCTAAGCTAATAAACCGATAATTAATGAATCAGGAAATTGTCGTTTAGATAATCATAAAACTTCAAATTGTTTTTTTCGATGAAAATCTGAAGTTAGTTTCGACCAAATACAAATCTCAAAATAATTGATGATTTATGACGATACCTCTGCATCACTAAAAAATCGACGATTAATCGCGATGCATTTACAGTACTAAAAAGATTGGTGATTAATCGCGATATATCTGAATTACTCAAAAAGTCGGCGATTAATCGTTAACTTTTCTACAAATCGCGAAAAGTCATCAAAATTTAGGCGATTTGACGATATGGGAAATACTTTCACATGGCTGAAAATTCATAACAAAATTTAAGAAATAAAAAATCTAATTTATATAGTTTTTTTTAATTCGAAAAATTTACATTTATGAATATATACTTTGAAGTATCATCTACCATCAATATAAACAATCAATTCATTTAATGGAATTAAGATATATACAATTTTCTTTTTGATCGAGGATTCTTGGCAAATCCTGTATATAGCTATTTACGAAGTGAACTAGTTTCCATAGACTTATTATTAGAGAATCATATTTGACTCTTGAGTTGAGAAAAGTGAGTTTTAGTGTTCTGAAGTCCTATATTCCTTGATTCTTTTTATTCAATATACACCAAAATTGTCATCAAAAATGAATGAATATGAATTTGAAAATTTTTCTTGACAAAATATTATGCATGAATACTGCCTTTAATTTGAAACTGTTTCCAATTCTCTACCTATTTTAATCATAAATTTATGAGGATTTTCCTAGATGTCATCCGTAAATTGAGAATTCAGTCCAACAAGAAGTAAACAAAATGTCTTTTTTTTCAAAAATATGAATATATATATTATCTTTCTATTTCGATAGGTTATTACATAATACAAAGAAAAGAGAAAAAGAATTTCATTCAAAAAAAATTATTTTTCTAAATAATTTTGAAATAAAAATAGTTGTAAGAATAAATCTTTTTTTCTGTTATAAATTTAACTACAATTATTTCCAAATGATTAATAAATTTTGAATTATGTGACATTTAAAGATTATGTGCAAGTTCAATAGGGATTTTAAATAACTATATGATTAGCAAATCCTATTAAAAATCAAGATAATTATTGAGCTTGATCAAACACTTTATTTGTAATAAGAACATTTTGTTCAATATATAAGGGTGTGGATGTCTGAATGTGGGTATGGGTGTGAGTAGGGAAGAAAAGAGCATCCACACCCTTCTGTTTGTTGTAAATGATCCCTTTCGACATATATCGATGGCTGCAATATGTAAAGAAGAGCGATTAATTGAATATAAGTTAACATAAATGATTAATTCAATGACTGAGACAATGGAAAATAAAAATTTCTGAAAAAGATGCGTTGTATGCTAGACTACTAATTAAATGTATTTAGGGGAACAAGACCAAACAGATGTGTTTTCAGACGATCAAATCTAAACTCACATGATCCACGAGGATTATGATAAGAACGACCAACATAATTTTCTTTAGGATAATGAGAGTGAGAAGTTCAGTTTTATTTACTTTCTTTGCGTTTGTGTCAATTGTTGAAAACATATGTATATGATCTCAAACGATCTTTTAGTGAGAGAAAAAAACCCTTATCAATATATCATAGCGAATTTTATTTTTCTATTGCCAGTTATTGGGTTGATTTATTGTTCTAAAAATTAAAGATCAATAAATCCTCGAAATTATATTTGCATTAAACTAATTTTAGCTCTGTAAATCGACCTTTGTTGATTTTTTTTAATTCATGTACTCTATATGAAATTATTTAGAAACAAAGATAATCGTTCATTTTTCCGAACATTTGACTTGTATATATTCGAAATTCCATTGTCATTAGTGTTCTATTTTGTGATGATCCATTGATACATGTTAGTTGTAATAGGTTAGAGCTGCAGGTGCCAAACTAATACGAAAATTTCGATATCGATTTCATTATATCAATTCAAGTCGAAACATCCTAAATGAAAGTCTCATTGAATAATATTACTTTATTTTACAGAAATTCTGCAGTTTAGTACCATTTTTAACTAATAAAAAGGTATGTATGAAGCAGAATATTAAAAAAAAATGTCTTAAAAAGCTTTGATGAAATTTTATTAAAAAATAAATAAGAATTTCAAAGAATACTGACAGTTAGAACTGTGTTCTTTATTAGTGAAATAAACTCATTTAAATATGATTCATCTTCACATCTCTTTGTAAAAATGTCAAAAGGTAAAATTCCCAAACAATCGAGTTTAGTTGTCATATAAATTTTACTTTGAGTGTAAATATGTATGTTGATCAATGAAATAATCAATTAATTTCACATTTATGTGTATCAAATCTTGAACTTTTAAATATTGTTTTCGCCTAGTAAAATAGTTCGGCATATGTCATACATCTAGGCGTTTATTTTTATCAAATAATTGATTACATAATTATATTTAAAAGTTCAACAGATAATGTTTTTTTTTCTCTTTATAAATCACTTAAAAACCACATTGATAAAAAAAAGAGGCAACTATAGACAAAGTCACTGAAATTCATTTAGTTTTTTTTTCTGGATATTCTTGATCGAATTATGTCCAATTCTATTATCTGTTGATCCATATACTTCTTATTGAGTCAATTTTACCAAGTAATGTAAATAAATTAGTTTTCTAAATGATGTCAGTTGTGAAAATTAGAGTACAAGCTATGTTAAACTTGATATTTAGGTAAGTCGATGTATTAGTGTTTTACGTGAACACGATTTGATGTTAAAAATCGTCTACATTGAACAAGTCATTCATGTTATTATTAAAAAATAGCCTCGGGATCTGTTAAGACTTCAGTGGTTTGAGTAGCTTATATTCCTTTTAATTTATTAGAGTGATATATTTTTGTGAAAGACATCGTTTGTTAGTTTTAACTCAACACATATCAATGAAAATATCCATATAACTGTTCTATTTCAGATGGTAGCTGGTCTTGATTATACTCGTTTTTTAAGTGAATCAGCTTTACGTCGACAGCCAAATGCAATTCGTGAAGCTGGTAAGTGTATATGAATGATTAAAAATGAAGGTCAATTGAAATATTTTATAATGTGGTAAGAAACATCTCAAAAGACTTCGAGTCCATTTTGAGATTTGATTAAAACATCAAGTTTTTAATAGTAAAAAGCTCCATTTTGCTTTCAGGATATCAGATTTTGCTTAAAGCTTCTAGTTATGCAGATAGAAATGCGCTCCATTTTCCTCGTACGAAAAGTTTCAGATTGAAATTCGAAGTTATATGTACTCAGAAAACATGATTGCATATATGAACGACAATACTTTGACGTACCAAACATCAAAAATACTGAAAGTTAGAAAAGAATGTCTAAGATGATTCTATTGTAGTCTATAGTTCATAGATATTGGATTTATAAAAGTTTCGATATCCATGACCGGTCTTCATATGTGTTCTTTACCAGAACATCTCTACTTCTATGTATATATTTATATAATATAATTCATTTAATGTTTCAGGTCAATTATTTTTACGATCATCACCATCAACTATCAGTTTTGCAGCAGGAAACCCAAATAAATCGTCGTTTCCATTTAAAGAAGCAATTATATCTCTCATGTTAATTTATTTATTCTTTTTTTCAGTTCATAAAAATGCTAAAATTGTTCATTTTTTCTTACTACAGAGACGGTACAACTATTCAATTAGATGCTTCTGCAATGGCTGAAGCATTACAATATTCATCTACACCTGGGTATCTATTTATTTCTAATTCTAACTGTGATTCATTAGTTTTCATGTTTTTTTTCATCAGTCAAGCAGATTTATTAGAATGGTTAAAAAAGCTGCAAATTCGTTATCATTCTCCAACAGATTTTAATCGATATGATTTATGTATAACGAATGGTTCCAGTGAAGGATTAAGCAAAGTTTTTGAACTTATTCTTAATCCGGGAGATGCAATTTTAATTGATTCGCCTTGCTATCCAGGATCTATAGATTTCGTACATAATTGAAAAACAAACTAAATACTTTACTTATTTTACTCATCTTTCCATTTAGCTTCTTGCATATGGTGCTGATATCATTTCTATAGAGACAGATTCAAACGGTATGAATGCTGAGCATTTAAATGAAATTCTTTCAAATTGGCCAAAATCAAAAGGTTTACCTAAAACTCTTTATACGATTCCAACTGGTTCTAATCCGACGGGAACATCCATGAGTTTCGAACGTAAAATAAATATTTATGATGTAAAACAACGAAAACAAAAAGAAATTAAATCTAATCTAATATATTTATTTTTGTTTAGATTGCTAGAAAATATAATCTATTAATTATTGAAGATGATCCTTATTATTTTCTTCAATTTACGGTAATAATTAATAGATTCTTAGAAAATAATAATTATTATTCATATGAAATTATAATAGAAACCAGAACCATCGTTCTTATCAATTGATACTGATGGACGTGTTATCAGACTTGATTCTATGTCGAAAATTTTATCACCTGGGTAAGATTGAATAGATAACTGAAAAATAATACAAGTTTTATATAGAATGCGTCTTGGTTTTGTTACTGCACCGATACCATTATGGCAAAAAATAGTCTATCATCAACAAGTAACGAGCATGCATGCAAGTGCTATTTCACAAGTAAAGTTTTAACAGAAAAAAAAAAATCTAAAATGACATTGTTAACAAAATTTTGTATGGTTCATCCATTAGATGATACTATTAAAATTATTTGAAAAATGGAATTTATCAGGATTTGATGAACATTTACAAAGGTAAAAGTTATCGATAAAGATTTTTCATATAATTATTTCTCATTACTTTTATAGTATTATGAAATTTTATGAAAATCGAAAAATTCTTATGATCGATGCTATTAATAAATATTTGAAAGGTAAAGTTACTTGAGTAATTTTTCATATAACCAACATTCATATTTAGATATGGTCTCATTTCATGAACCAAAAGCAGGAATGTTTATATGGTTAAAAATTCACGGTGTCGAAGATACCAGAAAATTGATTTATGAAAAAGTTCTTAGCAAAGAAGTATTACTTTTACCGGGTAGTATATTTTTCGTTGATAAATCAAAAAATTATCCATACGTTCGAGTTTCTTATTCGCTTTGTGCACTGGAACAAATTGAAATAGTAAGTCTACTTATTACTACTATTATTCATTATGAAATATATTTTCATTTCAATAGGGTATAGAACGTTTCAGTAAAGTACTTCAAGAAGAATTAATTCATTTATAAAATCGAAATTTTGAAAGATAATAATATTAGAAACTTGAGTTTTTAATTTTTTATATATTTATGAATCATTTCACGAAATTACAATAAAATCTTCACTTAAATGATTTCTATCAAGTGTATTTTATATCTTTAATATTATATGCGAGAAAAGGAATCACTAAAACTTGATATTAATATTCATATTCTCGTAATGTNCGTGGTCTTGTTTAAATGGCTTATGCAAGCTTTTTAATCATGAGTAAACTGTATATGTAAATTTATATTTTCTTTAATTGTTTATGAAATATCTTTCCAGATATTGTCTCGAAAAAATTAACAAAAACAAGATAAGGCATGTTGTTTTATTGGAAAAAATTAGCTATTTAAGCATTAAAAAAACACTTTCCGATTTTTTTCCGATTTTGAGAACGAAAATTCCGGCATTTTTCCGATTTTTTAATTCTCGATCTGGCAACCCTGACCCACACCCACCCACATCCACACCCACACCCACACCCTCACACTCACAACTACTCCCCACATTCATTACAAACAATCACAACCACACCCACAAGTGAAAATTGTTATCAAAGCTCAACATGTGAAAAGTGCTTTTTAATACGTCTATTTCAATTTTTGCAAGACTTTTTGTTTGTATGTTCTTGTCTTTTATACCTTTTGGACGTGGCTGTTTTATTAACATTCTTGTATTCACATGGAAACATTCTTTTCACTGAAATTCTTCAAAATAAGCGCAAGAACAAACGACAACGAATGTCTTTATTTTCTATTGTCTCTACTTATTTGAATTCTCTTAAGGAAATCCATCGCGTCATTGAGCTCTTTACTATTTTCTGAATTAAAGGGTTTTAATTGATCAATGTATTTCTGAGCAAATTCAATTGCTTGATCGAATTGTCGACGCTTTTCATAGGTCGTGGCAATGTTCTTATACGTTTCAGCAAATGTTTTGTGCTCTTTTGGTAGCGATTTTGATTCGATTTTCAAACATTTTAGTTGATTTTCCAAAGTAAGATCATATTGTTTCATTTTATAATACACCGCACCAATATTATTATATAGAAATGCTAAAGCAGGATGTTCTTCCGGCAAATGCTCGTGCTGCTGTTTGAGCGCTTTTAAAAACGAATCTAGTGCCTGTTGATATTTCTCTTGACGATGAAGAATATTACCAATACAAATATAAGTAACAGCGATGGATGAGGGATCCAATAAAAGATCAGATTCGAGAGATAAGAGTTGTAACTTCAATGCTTCCTGGTATTGTTCGAGAGCTGCATTCCAATCTTCTTTTCCACGATAAATATGACCAATCGTATGTAATGTATGAATTAATGATGGATCATTGGGTTCACACTCGTGACAACGAATATTCAACGCTTCTTTATAAAAATCTAGAGCTTTATCATAGTGCTTCAATGCCAGATGTACTTTAGCAACATTACTGATATATGTTGCCTTTGTTATTGGATCGGGCGATTCTAATTTGTTTAAAGTCTCCAAGGCTTTTTCATAGAATAGTAAGCTATCCTCGTATTCACCTTGTTTATAATACATACTTGCTACATTAGCATTGCTGGCAGGAATTTTTCGATCATCTTTGGCGTCACGTTGAGCATGAAGTACATTTTCGAAAAATTTTAATAGAGTCAATTGTATTTGCTGAATTTCCTTTTGTAATTGTTCATCTTTCTCACTGACAGTACTTAAGCGAACCATCCAAATACCATCACTTGTTTTTTGATCTGCTACATCATCGATTCGAAAAACAGTCCCAATTGAGAAAAGAACTTCACGTTCATTTTTAAAGTTACTCCAACGAGATATATCAGCGAATGGACGTTCCATTCGATCAGCATCGATTTCGATAGAGAAAACAACAGATTCATTTTTGGGATCTTGTTTATACGAAGCAAATAGTTTGGCTACATTTTCGTCCAAACTAGTTGAGAGAAAACTATCAAACGCAATTAAATTTCCCTTTTCGCCACTTATTTTTTGCTCGAAATCTATCGAGGGCATACTTAATCCACGATAAACAGTAAAAACTCGCGATTCTAATGATGGTTTGTATAAACTATGCAGTTGTTCCAGATGCATATGCAAATCTTTGATAAAAAAGTGAAACTTGTATAATATCGATATATCTTGAGTCAAAAAGGCTGCATTCAGCATTTTGAATAGAAATGTTTGTCGTGTGTACCTAAAAGGCAAAGAATCTTAGTCGTTTGGATTCTGATAACTCAACTATAATCATGTGGATACAGGCAAATCTCGATATTTGTGATAAATCCATAATTGTGTATTCAAAAAGAGAGTGCATTTCTAGAATCAGTCGATGTGTCTGTTTGGTCGTTTACACGATAACTTTTGAAGATAAAGATGGATTGCTCTGAAATTTTTTGCGTAATGTTTTCCATAATCTTTTGATAGAAAACTTTAGAGTCTTAAAAATGCTACGTAAAATATGAAGAGGATTGCCTTCTTTTCCAGTCGAAATCTTTTTTTAGACAGTTTGATCAAAATCAATCTCTCGACAATTATTTTCCTTTTTTTCTCTCGTCTGAACATCGTCTGGTTTTAACGAAATCTCTGAATTTTCGTCTCTATATGTTTACCAAAAATATTTGAACAAAATAAGACTCTAATGCTGCTGCATCGCAATAGTTTTCAAAGTAAACTGTCTCTACTGTCGAAAATTCATTGTTCACGAATGAGACTTCAACGTGAATAGTATTCGTTGAGAACATTCAAAAGTTTCTCTTACCACCAGATTGCTTTTCCAGAATGATAATTAGTTCTTAAATCGTCAATCGATTTGAGTTCAGCCGGAGTGGATTTATATATATTGGAGCAAAAGTCAGCGAGTTCGAATCTTGCATTATTATTATACTCCATAGTAAAAAGTAAATCACGATGAAGTTGTGAACAGAGAAATTTGACTTGATTATTCTCGTCCACTGAAGTTTTCGATATGGTAGAAATAGGTAGAAGATTTTTCAATGCTTGTTCTGTATCTTCTTTCAAACGAGCGCATAATGGATCAATATCAACGAAGATACCATGTACTTTATTGGAAAGTTCCATTAATTCTGTATATTCGGATTGATCATGACAAAAAATATAAATAGAATTCAATTTAGAAGAATTAATGATTTCATTCATAGGAATAAGTTGTTTTCCAAGTTTGCCGGATACGATCAAGTAAATTTGTTGATCTTGAACTTGTTTCATAAAGTCTATGGCTTCATTTATTTTATGGCAAGTAACTAGTGAGTTGACAATAGCACGAAGTTTTTCCTCAGACTCAACTGTATCGTAGTTCATCATGATGTTTTCATCCAACCAAATTAAGACAAAACTTTCCGCCTTACTCTCTGTTGTCGATATTGTTGTTGAACCTGTATATTGTAATTTGGCTTTCATCTCTCTATTAGGCTCTACTAATGAGAAAAAAAACCGACAGCATAGTTTTCAATTGATCGATAGAAAAGTTACGAACCTGCGATGTTGGAATCAATGAGTGATTCAGTCATACTGTTCGTTTCTGAATTAGTTGTCAGTGATTTCATCTTATCCTTTTCCGCAGTTTCTTTTGATTTCATCTGTGGAAGTAACAATTTTAAATAGCCGGTAAGTAATTGTTGCATTCTAAGACTAGCTGTTGCTGAAATCTTTGCTAAAATAATAAAAATAAATGTATTTTTCGTAAATCATATCTTCTCAAAATAGATGCTTGCTGTTTTTATCTTCATTCATAATTTTTGAACTAATAGTTGAATCGATTTGTTTTAATTCTGTTGTTGCATCTTTAGATACCTAATTGAAGAGAGCACTTTCTGTGAAGAACAAAATTAAGAGTGAAAAATTCCTTATACTTGTATGTTGCCAATGGCTTGATCATCCTAGAAACGATCGATCAATTAACATATTTTATTTAATCAAATTATTTTCTTACTTGTTGATTAGTTTCTTCTTTGTTCACATTTTTTGGTTCTAAATTGCTCATCAATGTCTAAATAGAATCATGGATGATAGTTATTTGCTAATATTCAATTCTGGTATGATTACTTGAGTTTTGCTTGAATCCTTGATCGGATTATATTCAACAGAAGTGGTATCTGCTAATGGCGTCTGTTTGTCATCCAATTTCGTTGTAACTGTAGCTGGTTCAGATTGAACGAATACACCAGAAACTAATTTCATATGTGGTTGTTCTTTTACCGTATCTTTCATGGACATCATGGGTGGCTTGAATGGACTAGTTATTCTTGAATAAATCTCCTCTTTGAAACTTACCGGTCGAGAAACTGATTGAACACTGGCAGGTCTGATATAATGAGGATCATTGTATTGAACTGCATCTGAGAAAAATTTCATTAATTCATGAGACTGACAACTAATGGAAATTAATCAGTATTAGTGAATAAAAGAAATCGAATTGATCGGCGATGTCTTACGTCTCGCATGGTATTCCTCCCGTGATCGATTGAAGTTGACATGACCTTCGTCCTATTTGAATATTAGATTGGTTAAAGAAACCTTTTTCACAACAGGTAAAAATGTGTTGATCAATGATTCCATTAATATAGATAGAAATAGTAAAATGACGATCAAACAAACGATATGATTTGAAAGTGAATTCATCTACAAACTATAGTTGAAAATCATCGTCAATGAATACCGTTAAATATATTTCTACCATTAGGTTTTAGACAACCTTTGAAAACTGATTTTGTGCCATCCACAGTGTCAGATTGAAGAATCAAAATCTCGTCAGCATGAATTTTAAACTTATAAGGACCATTGGATTTTATCATTGGTGGTCCACAATACAGCATTGTTACTACGCAAGAATGATCAGGAATACTAACAGATGTATTCTAGAGTATTCAGTAATAACCTATGAGAAAAATCTCTCATACATTTTATCTTACGTTCTCTGATGATGAAGGTTCTTTCAATTTGTTCGTCGAAGACTTTTTTGTAGACCGATCAATACCTAAAGCTCTAGAAGACTTTTAATAATATAAATTGTTATTCGTCGCATTTTCTATGCTTACTGTCTATTTTTTATCGTTGTCATTGATTTGTAATTTATCTAAAATAATATTAAAGGTAGAAAAGAAAAAGGAGGGTACTCGATAAGCGGTGAAATTGATCTACTTGAGAAAGTTGGCTTATTTTATGTCAAACTCTCACACGTGCTACTCAGAAGGGGTTTCTAGTAAAATGGATCCTATGTCACTTGTTAGCAGTGTCTTCAGGTCGAGTGAGATACTTAAGCACTAACTTAATCTCATCAATCGCCATACCAATTTTGATACGATTTGATAGCTCTTTCAAAGCGCTACAAAATTCTATAAAAATATCTAGGAGCAAAACATCGACCATCCCAAAATATTCTGAGAATACTTTTATCAAGACATGATATTCTGAATTACCTTGAAAAACTGAGTCGATTGATGTAAGTTTCAAGAATTTTCATCGAAAAATTAACCTCTAGTCCCGCTTAAGATTAGGTCACAAAATGAACTACGTCGTAGTGCTGCTTTTAGATTCATTCATTTGCCATTTTTAGTTCTATTATCATTTCAACGGAGGTGAATTTTTCGTTGAGAATAAAATCTCATGGAAACCCTTAAAATCCACACAAGTCTACTCAGTCTTTCAAGTTGAATCAAAATATAATTTTTTTAAAGTTAAATTCATAACTTTTCCAATCAAAACTTGTTAATAAAAAGTGAAAAAAGTCTAAAATCGTGTCGTGTCAAAAGTGTGCTCAGAATATTTTTGGGCGATCAATGTTTTTTTTCCTAGTTGCTTTTACACAGTTTTGTAGCGCTTTGAAAGAGCTATCAAATCGTATCAAAATTTATGTAGTGGTCGATAAGATTAAATTCTTCCTTAAGTGTCTCACTTGATCTGGAGACATCGCTCACAAGTGATATATAGTACGAATTTCATCAATTATCGACCCCTTCCCTATGTAAATTGTCTTGAAAATCGATGTTAATCAATCACCGAATATCTATTCCATACTAGGAAAATAAAGCTTGTTTGAGCCATTGTTTTTGACGAACAATCTCTAATCGAGCTTGATTTTCTTTTAATTCTGGATGAGTTTCTGAGATTTTCCTCAGTTGTTCGACCGATTTTTCTGCACATATCACAGCTTGATCATAGTCACCAATACTTTCATAAGCAGTTGAAAGATTATAATAAGTGATAGACAATGGATGTGGTAATACATTGGGTAATTTAAGTTGAAGATCCAATGTTTTTTTATAGTACTTCAATGCTTCTTTTGGTTCTTTTGTGCGCCAAAAACAGTTGGAAATTCTCTGACAAATCGAAATCAAATGTTTCGCATTGTCTTTTGTCAATACTTTCTCAAGAATCATTTCTGCTCTTTTTAGATGTTTCATTGCTTCAATATAATTCTTTTGATCTATATAAACTGCACCAATATTTGTCGAATATATTGCTACAGCATCCGGATCAGGATCTGATGCTTTTAATTGACATTCAAGAGCCATTTCATGAAAATGAATTGCACATTGATGATGATCATCTTGATAGAACATACTACCGATAGTATTGTAAGTAGACGATAACACTTGATGATTATAAGGTAAAAATAGTTGAAATGCACGTAATGATTTAAAGAATTGATAACGTGCTGCTTCATAGTTTGTATTAGTTTCATCAACATTGCCTAAAAGATGATGTGCAGCAGCTAAACTCGTCAATAACGTACTATCATTCTCAAAAGATTTATCTTGATAAATTAATTCAGTAAGATAATCAACTTCCTTATAATGATCAGTCGCTAGAAAAAGCTTTGTCAATTTTAAAATGACTACTGGTGCATTCATTGCTTTGCGTAAAGATTCAGTTAATTGTTGAAAATGAGAATCATTATGGGAAACAGATTCTAAGTATACTGTATGAATTCCATTTTCGTTTTCATCCATAGAAACTACACGAAAAATAGTATCAATATCGATCAAAATATCGACTTTGCAGTTGGAGGAACGTAATTGTTCGATATTAGCTGCACAGTTAGGTCCAAGTCGAATTGAAAAGACAAGATATTGTTGTGTGTCTTTATTTTGATATTCATTAAATGTTGGTGGTTCGAATGTTGTGGGAAGGAATGAACCGAATAAAACTAGTCCATTGATATTTTCTTGAAATTTTTCAATGGTTTCTTGTTCGACATCTAAAATAGCATAAGTAACGGTTGATTCTTTGATAGAAATCGATTGGATTTGTTTATGAAGACATTGAATAAAATAACGCATTTTAAATAAAAGATCAACTTCTTGTGTACGAAATGCACGTGATAAGATTTTTGTCAAAAAAGAATTCTGTGTATACCATTGAATACTATGTGCATCGGCAAAAGATTTTTCAAATTCATCGATCTCATGACTATCGACATAATGAATACGACAAAATGCCAGCATATCTTTTCTTAAATCACTTTTGTCATCTTCACAAAGGATTATTTCTTTCAGTAATTGACGATAGGTAAATGGCAGATTCAATATAGTATCTTTCGATGTAATTTCCATTGAAATCACTCGAGAAGAAAGGTGAGATAATGTTTTGATTAAATGACCATGAATTGATTCAACATTTTGATAAAGTCCGATAACTTTGCCATAATCATTGATCCATACAGGTGGATGGGTCTCTTGGGATATAAAATAAATTGAGTGAATACATTTGTGCTGCTGAAGTTCGAGAAGAATTGATTCAGCTTGATTAAGAGACATCACAACAATGTACTTTTCGTCTTCACAGGCTGTCAGCAATGTTGCTAATGTATTTGGATCATTTATTATACGTATAAAATTTACTGTATGACGAAGAAGACTTAGATCTCTCTCTTTATTTTGATCGATATATAGTATAGTAAAATCCTCAACATTGTTAATGGGTCGAGGTGGAATTGTTTGACAGAGTTTAGGAGGTTTTGATAAAGCTATAATTATGAAATTGGCATCGGATATAATTCATCTGATAACTATACCTTGTTGCATAACGTCGTTGATGTATGTAAATAACGTAGACGAGACTGATGGATCTATGGCAATACGCAACTATCCAGTTTACCGACTGTTTTCTCGGATCAAAAAATTATCGAAGCAATGAAATGATAGTTACCCTTCTCAGCAGTCAATGGTTGAGGTGGTGGAGTCAGCAACGATTGAACTTTGGAAGTTGAGTCAGGCTTTTCAAGAACTTTTTTCGTATCTATAAGGAGAAGTATTTGATTATCACATTATTACCATTATGAACTACCTGCGTATGATGTCGAGGGAGCAGTTGAGGACTAAAGTTAATGAAAATATATGCTTAAATTTTGATTTTTCACGTATTTATTATTACATTTGTTGACAATGCAAGTTTCATATCGGACGGTTCAACCTTTTTGGTTGATTTTTCTGATGCTTGAAATGAAAACGGTGAAGTTTTGTAGCTTTTCGATTCGAATACTCACCAACAGATTGATCATCCTCTGCTTCACTTTCGTCACTGGTTTGACTCTGAGTAAATAACATAATTAGTCGTTAATAATCTCTTATACTCTACCTTTATTTCTAGTTCATCCAACTGCAGCTAGAAATATGAATTTAGGCTAAACTCAAGTATCTTGCAACAATGTCGTTGCCTGATTTAGAAGTATGAGTAACGAACAGTGTTGATTTACTCGAAGCTGAATACATCGATAGAAACCTCTCTATCATGAAGTTTTTCTGAAGATGGCTTGATTTGAATTAAAGTCTCAGAATAGGTCAGTTCAGACTGGTGCTTTTCATGAAATTCATAGATGACACTAGCCTGTTCTTAAAAATTTGTCCCTTTTTTTTTCGAAAAAGCCTATCATGACAAATTTATCTATGATGCGGATAGAAGCACACGGAATACTTTTGATATCCTAGATAGTGTTAGCAAACACGCAGCTATTGCTAGTAATATCAGAAGTAATGCTATCATTCTTTTGACTTTTTGTTTAAAAAGATGTAACTTTCTAAGAATATGCGAGGATCATTGGTTAGTTTCTTGAAAAGCATTGATCTAACATGGTCTATTTTCAAATTTCAACTCGAATTAGATCATCTCGAGAAAAGCTTCATCAGATTGACATTTTTCTCGAAGTATCGAGCCCTTTGTTAATGTGTTGAGTACACATAGCTACTTTCATTAATAAATCCTATAGAAAAAATAAGTCCTAATGGTTCCTCAAAATATTAGAACTTGTTCTGTTAAATAGTAGTTCTTTGAGAATCTTACCGAACTAAGAGCTGTTGTCTCATCATCAGATGATTTTAGCAAATCGATACTCTCACTGCATCTAAAATCCACTGTGAATATTTGTTTCATATTTGTTTTTTCTTTCACCTACTTTGTGCATGATTTATATTCTTCAATAGTTTCTATCCAAAATGAACTATGACCATCATCGATTCGACCTCCATGACGATATAAGTGTTCACAACATGCTGAAATCGTTGTATCAAGGGAACCATTAATTTCAAGTTTTAGATGAAAACGATCGTCCATTGAGCGTTGAGATTTAAAGGTGAAAGAATCTAAAACAAGAAATTCAATATTCAGAAAATAATTAAATAAACAACAAATTTACCGCCTGCTTCAAGAAAACCTTTAAATACAATCCAAGTACCACCATTATTATCTATTTGAAAAATCGTCACTTCATCACGTCTTGAATTACACAATATAGGAGGTAGAGCTGGATCAGATCGATATCTCATTGTTATACGACAAGAACATTGTTTATTCAAGTTTCTTGATCCACTCAAAAGACTCTATACATAGTTACAACCCATGCTTGTGAAAAAGTCTTTCAATCCTTATAGGAATTCTTTCTCACTTGTGGGTACGAAGATTTAATTCTTTGTTGATTTCGATTTAACAAAGAAATCTAAAGTAGAACGAGAAAAAAATATGTAAATAAACATTCAATAATATCCAATCAAAGAAAATGATTTACATGAGACGGAACTAAAGATGAAACTGGATAGTGGTTAAGATTCGATGTATTTCTAAAAAAAAACAAAAACATATCTGCTGACAGATTAAAAATTTTGAAAGAATCCCATCAATTAAAGCAGGTTTATGGATAATAGCACAATCCTTTTGGGATTAGAAATGTGAAACACGATGTATCTGATGTTATTGATGGCAGGAAAGCTATTTTATTTCATAAGCTTCTAATATATTTTCATGAGGCTTTATTGGACTACGATCACTAATTCTGCATTGAATTGTCTGTCACGATCTGAAAGTGGAGGGGTTGGATTGCTATCCTATACACGTCGATGCTCCTTTCAGTTCGTGTTTCACAAAATAGATGAACTGAAGAATATTTTTTTCATTGTTCGAATTAATTTACTTGTTTTCTGTTGAAAGTTGCGATTGTGAAATGGATGGAATCGTTCCAGATAAATCTGAACATCTTTGACCATGAATTGATAAAGATTTATTAGTGAATCTTTCGAAGGTTTCACTTGAAGAAGTTTTCTTCTTTGGCAATTTTGGTGGTGCACTATGCCTAGATATTAAAAGCAAATCATTACGACAATAAAAATGTATAAACCAATCAATTAAATCTAAATACTGAGTCTTGTTTCCAGTGGAAAGATGCGTTTCATAGATCGGCACTACTTCCTCGAATTGATTGAACTATATAGAAATTATTTTACTAATCATATTCACAGAGAACAAATATAAGTTTATTACTGTTCTATTACTAAGAATAATAGATGACTGATGATCCATCAATTCTCGTCGTCGGGATAATCGAACTGCAGACATTCTGGATGGAAATTGAAAAATGATCGATTAATCTAAAATCAAGTGTAAATATTCTTCAAAGGAGTTTCAATGAAATATTTATCAAATTGCATCAATGAATGAAAATCGCATCGATACAGAAAATATCTCAGATAACTATTTTTAGTTTATATTAGATTATGTTGTAGTAAATAAACTCTTCATCCAAATTTTTTGTTCTAAACGTTGAAGATATTTTCTTTGCATTTTTATTTCTTCATCATCTTCTTGTTTAGTTAAAAGTAAACGTGTAATAGCTTTTTCTACTGCTTCTTTCGCTTCTTGAAATTGTCCAAGTTCTTCTAATGTTGTTGCCATGTTATAATACGTAACTGAAACCGTCGGATTTGAAGATAAATGACATTTTAGTTCAATATTAAGACATTTTTGATAATTTTCTAATGCTTCTGAATATTGACATAATCGATATTGAGCTGCAGCAAGATTATGATATTTTGCAGCTAGATCAGGATGATCATTATTCGGATGAAGTTTTTGTTTAATTTGTAAATCAAGTTCAAGATAGCTAATGGCTTCCTTGTATCTTTTAAGTTTCATAAGAACCGATGCGATGTTACCAGCATAAGCAGAGACTGAATCCATGTCAGGATCGGTTGCTTTCTTTTGAATTTCATAAGCCTTTCGATGATATTCTAATGCTTGTTCATGTAAACCTTGTTTATTATAAATACTTCCGATGTTGTTATAAGTTGGCGTCAATCTCACATCATCATCAGGTAAAACACGTAAATAAACTTTTAAAGACTTTTGCAAATGATTTAATGCTTGTTCGTATTGTTTTCTTTCATAATAATAAGTTCCTAAAGAATGAAGTGATCCTCCAAGAGTTAAATTTGTTGTTTCATCTTTAATAGCTTGTTGATCATCAATTAACATCAAACAAAAATATTCTGTATAACTTGTTAATTCTCTCTGTTTCATTAATTTCACCATTCTTACTAATGGAAAAGAAGCGCGTACAGCCTCACGCAAATCTTTGGCTATTAGTTGACCAGCTTTAAGAATTTCATCATTAGTCGTTAATTTTACAGCAAATGTTTCTTCATCAATTGATTCAAGTTTATCAATACGGAATATTATTCCAACATTTAGAATAAATTCATTGGGTTTTGTTGGAACATCACATATAGAAAGACCAGTTCCTAAAACAATTTCAAAATGAACCAATTTCGAATCAATGTTCATCGGACAAGGTTCAATTGTTGCCTTGTTTTTATTGACCAAAAGAAATTCATTAAATGATAATAATGCGCCTTGATTTCTTTTCATTTTATCGAAAAGATCTTTTCGAATTCGAAGTGTTCGATAGACAGTCAATGAATTTGTATTAATAGAAGACTTCAATTTGGAATGAAGATGTTGAATAAAATATCGAAGTTTAAATAAAATATCCGGATCTAAAACTCGAAATGCTCGTGTGATCATTTTATGCAAAAATGCTTCGTGCCGTAAATACCAATGAATAGCATCATCTGGTTGAAAATTTTTTTCAAATTCATCAATCAGTTTTAATTGAATAATATTATTAGCATATTCTTCACGACAGAAATCGATCATTTCTTTTTTCAAGTCTCTTTTTTCATCGGGCTCTAAGATAATATCTTTTAATGCTTGAACATAATTCAACGTACTCATTCCAGTATAATCTGCAGGAATCGAGCAAATGCTTGTTAAATCATATGTGAATAATTGAAGATCGTTTTCTAATTGCTCACAAAATTTGTTCATATTCGGAAAAGATCCTCGATACAACTTTGAATCAAATGAACATTTCTCCGATGAATCAATAACATAAATCGCACAAAGTAGAGGTTCATCTTGAATATTTTTCGATAAATTTTCCATACTAGATTTTGAAAGAATTAAAATAATTCTTTCATTGAGAATTTTCTTAAGAAATTCAATGGATTCTTTCGAATTAATATCATTAAAAGTAAAACCCAAATTAATCAGACCACGTAAAATGTGTTGTTCATCCTTTGAAATCGAAAGATGATTTTCAAGAATATAGCAAAAATTCTCTACACTCTTTGAATGACGTTTCATTCTCGATGTGTCATTTTGTTGTATTGAGATACACATATCTAAATCATACAAAAAAATTCTGTTTATTTCAAATAAAATTGATGTATGGCATACTTTGTTTCAAATTAGCTCTGAGAATTTGCACAAATTGATCCAAATTAAATCCATCAGGCATGGTAGCGATTGCCTCGGTTTTATTTGCATTTTGTGGGTTATCTTCAGATTTATCTGTCAAGTTTTGTTCTAAAACATATAGTTTACAAAACTATGAGTTCAAGAACTTATTACTCGTATCAGTTGACTCAGTAGCTGGAATAGCTGAAGTTTCTTTGGCATCGATTGAACTCGATTGGATTGTTGTAGTTTCGGATGATTTTGCTAGTTCCAAGAGATTAGGATTAACTGTTATCGATATTTCTGTTGAGGAAGCCCCACCAACTGATGAAAAGATTTTAAATCTCATATTTCAGCTATAAACATGATTTAGGAGGGAGAGCTACCAATTGTTCAATCGATTTTGAGCTGAGATCATGCGCATCATGTAGACCACGATGAACTATGAATAATCTGAAAAGAGTTTGAACGAATAGCTTGTTCCTAAGGAGATATCCTATTTTTAGTGGATTTTCCCTGCAAACCCCAGTTTTCCAGCAATATCATATTTTCGAATTTTGATCTCAAACTTTGCCAATATGAAGATCTCAACTAGACTACCTGGTATAAAAAATTTCAGAACTTTTGGACAAAGTCTCTCCGAGATATAAAATTTTCAAAAAATGCATCTTTTTACGCCATGTATGGAAAAATATCTGTATCTTAGAAGATCCATATTTCGGAGAGACTTTGTCTCTTGATATTGGCATAGTTTCAGGTTAAAATTCGAATTTATGATATTGCTGAAAAACTGGCGTTCTGTAGGGAAAATTCACTAAAAATGAGATACTTCACTAGGAACAAGCTATCCATCCGAACTTGTTTCAGGGTATTCATAGTTCATTGGGGTTTACATGATTTACATAGTCTCGACTCAACAGTGATTCAACAGTTGTACCATAGATAACGATTACCATAGAATAAATGGATCTCTTAATATTTTTTGTTTTGAAAACAATCTATTTCACATTGCCTAAATAGCTTTTATCGTATTTCGAAGTACAACAAATCGACATGACAAAATAATGAGTACCAGAGACCGAAATGGATCGGGAGACAAAAAAATTGCTTTGTTAGGGGCAGGGCAGAATGAGTTACATTCTCGGAAAATTTTCCTTTTTTTCAGTTTTATAACAGTTTTAGGTTGGTTGAGATTTATTCAATTATACATTCATGAATGAAACACAACATTAAGGTTAACTTAAGACAGGAGAGAAGAAAGGGAGAGCCGTGAAACGAGAATCTTACAGTCCCACTCATGTTTTAATCAGTTGGGGGAATTCCGTCGTCAATTTTGACGTGATTATGAGAAGATATCAAGAATAATTTGTGATTATTTCCACAAACCTGTATGATCGGCATGTGATACTTCGGCTGACTTTGGTTTTTTACATTTCGAAGCCTGGATATTGAGAATAAAATATTTACATGATTGATATGAAATTAAAATTCATTTACTTTCTTCTTTTGTTGACGTTTGTTGGATGATTCTTTTTCTTCAATAGGATCGTCTGTCAAATCAAGAAGAGGAAACACTGATTTAGCAATAATCAATCAGATTAAATCTACTTGTAGATAATGGCTTCGGAATGTTGTTGGANTAAATTGAAACCAATATGGTATATGATAGAGTACTACTAGATGTCTATAGGTGTGACATAAGATTAGAAATGAAACTTTCTTTAGTTGAATTAATCTTTACTTTTATGGAAATTTAGTGGGGGGTCTTATAATTATGAGACACCCTGTAATATCAATAATATTTGCCAAGATGTGAAAGATTAAAAGATAAAAAAAACTATCTAATAAATATTGGTGTGAGAATAGTCCTAAGGAAAAATTTATTCGTCCCTTAACAAACTATCATTATAATGCGTATTCAAATCATTGCTGTTCTTATGGTTTTTGTCTTTTGTGCTACTCTTTTGGTTTCGGCCAAGCCAACTATATCTGTTGGAAATCAACATCATACTATTTCACATTCAAATTGACCTCAAATCGGAAATCCATTTTGTATTCCAGTTCTTTGTACTTTTCCTTGCTCGTGTGGTAGTCAACTTGATATGCGAGGATGTGAAACGTGTTATTGTCTTCCATGTGGTTTGGAATGGTAGTTTATTTTTATTGAATTAAATTCGAAATAAAATAATTAATTAGGAGATTTTTCCGATTGAATCAATTTTTATTCTCAATTAAACTTCTTGTAATGGAAACATACATTGATGTAATAATAATTTTTAGAGTTTTAATTGTACACAATATTAAAGAAATAATATTAAGAGTAGAAACACATACAAAATTTAACATGCGAATAAACAGATTAGAAATTAAGATTATTGTTTATGTTGATGTAAAAGAAAGTTAAGAAAATTTTTTTTTATGTTGTTTCAAAACGAAGATTAAAAATTTGTTTGGTTATATTTATGGAATAGAAATGCTAATTAATAAGAAAATTGATCACTTTTATTTGATATTCTCATTAGTTCTTTAGACAATATATTATTTTTCAAGATGATATTATATCATCATTAAAAATAAAAATCTAACTATAAAATCTCTTAGTTATTATCATTTACATACTTTTTTTTCTCTTGTGATGTATAGAGAAAATATAATCATAACGAGTGATCGGAAAGTTTTTATTCAAGATGTTTATTCACTGCTGACCTGCTAGAAAGTATTTCGGATGAATCATAAACTATGATTGTGTCGTTTTTTTAATATGAGCTTACTAGGAAACTGCTTCAAGTGACATTCATTGTTTGGACTAATATTGAACCAACAGACAGGCCTCAGTGAGAATGGCAAAAGCCTAAAACAGTTCGTCCCTATTGACTTTCGCAGCCGAGTTATGAAATGTTTACTGGATTTTCGACTCATTTTTAGGTAACCGCTGGAAGACGAAATAACAGAATTTCGATCGAAAATTGTACCTATCGACAGGTTTAATGGCTTTCAGAATATTCTGAAAGTTTCAGTCGAAAAGAATGCTCCTTCATCGAGTTATTGAACTCTCAAGTAAAATTCTAAGAGTCATTAGATCTATCAATAGACAAAATTTTGGAGCAAGACACCGCTATTTGATTTTCCAACAAGTACTTAAAGATGGATTAAAAATCTATTGAATCGACCATAATTCGACGATAAGAGCCAATGGAAACGAACTCTTCTAGACTTTTGTTGGTCTTAATGAGACCTTCTCTGTAGGTACAATATGAGCTAAAACGGTGGGTGTCTCTAAGGACAATTTCCTCGTTAGAACTCTTGTCTCAGTTTTTGTTTGCCAGTTAAGTTCCATGGTAAATTTGGTAGAAGTGTGTCCCCTCTACAAAATGGTTGATTTCGACAATTTTTTGCATGTTCGAGAATGCTTATTTTAGACTGATTATGAGACGTCAACAATCGATATGTTGTTAATTATATGAATAAAAAAAAAAACATTTATGAATTAGTTGAAGTAGAATATTTATAATATAATTGTTATTAATTCATCGTTCTCTTTCTTTTTAAGGTTATAATGACAGTTCTAGTGATTCACAAACCTAATGATCATATTACATTCATTTGTGAATGTTTAGAAAAGGTTCAAACTAATCTAAATTTCTTTACTCAATTAATCATAATTTTTGTGTAGAAAATAATGTAAAACATATTTGTTCAGTTTTTTTTTCTAATGACAAAGTTCATGATCACCTTATTCAATCTATGAACTCAATATCAAGTATAATTTCATCATTCTATTCACAAATATGTATAGAATAATCAGTTTTACCAATGATTGACTATATAGTAAAACAAACTCTTCTACATTTACCTATTATCCAGGGTACATCATAAATAACTCTACGATAAAAAAAAAGAAATATATCCACATCGAGCCGATGCAATCAAATCGATGAAGCTTTGGTTATTACTGGCCCGAGAGTATTCAAAGTTGTTTTTTCATATGAATGAGGTAAGCAAATATTCCTATTAAGTATTAATGTTGGTATCATAAAAGAAATTATACCTGTTTTCAAATAATAAAAGTACATTCACAGCATTTCATAGATTATTTTCAGTTTTCATCACAGAGAAGAAGTCAAAAAGGAACTTTATCAATGATACTATATTCATCCATATCGAAAAAATTTTCAGAACTATTATCTGCTTAAAAAAAGAAAAGCTGTGAGTATTTTTTTGAATAAATTTTGATAGAAATAAGATGAAGAGCTGCGGTTTTCACTAGTACAAAGAGAAAGTCCAGATGTATAAATACACGCTGAGTTTTTATTGATTATTACTGGATCAATCAGGTAAATTCTTGGTGAGCTTTTTAAAAAAGATATTTTGAACAACAGTTTTCAGTTGACCTTGATTGTTAATATGATTGATAGATTGGAAAAATGGTTCTTTTCCGGTTTACACGAGGCTGACATAACTAGATTATTCTGTTCAACAGTTATAAAGATTTTCTTGAGACTCTTGATTTCATTCAATTGCCTTGGTGTCACTTGAAAAAGCATGTAGGCATGGACAGTTCATTATGTTGGATAGAATAAGAGTAAATTTACTTTGAATTTGAAATGACTCGACTCTGTTATCTCAATATTTCCAAAATCTTGAGTTCTTCGTTACATGAAGATTGATTGTGGAGTCTCAGAAATATTGAAAGAATAGCGTGATATCATTTTGAGTTCAAAGGTGATCACAGATGAATTGGCTGAAGTCGAGCGTCTGAGGAAAAGTCTTATAACTCTTGAACGAAACAAACTAGCAACGTTGGTCTTCTGTAGATCGAAAGAAAACAATTTTTTGCTATCTACCGATCATATTAACAATCAAGATCAACTAAAAAATAGATTTAGAATAGTGTTTTTGAAATACCTATCAAAAATCCATCTACCTGGTCTAGTACTGGCGAATTGAATTTCAACAAGTATTTTTGCGCCTGGATCTTTGCTTTAAAGTAGTGAAAACTGCATCTCTCTATCTTGTTCTTATCAAAAGTTAATTTCAAAAATATCTACAACATTCCTATTTCTAAAATGGATAGCATAGTTTGCATAAAAGTCAACAATTATAATTTTCACACAAGGAACAATAATCTTTGCAAGAAAGTTTGCATTTTCGTACCGAAAAGGTTGTGTTTATTAGCATCATTCATAAAGGTCGTTTTGACTACTTTCGATTCTCTTAGATGACAACTGAACATTATTTATAAAACCCTTCATATACATTTTTCTTACTTGATAACGACTGAAGTTTGTTTAGCGAAACCAATAATATATCTTGACAGTGGTATTTATTTGCTTTATTTGTATGAAAAAA